CATTCCAGTTGAACTATTTAAAATCTTAAAAGATGACGCTGTTAAGGTGCTACACTCAATATGCCATCACCTCCACTGGCCTTGTTGTTAGCCAGGCTTTCTAAGGCCCACTTGACTTCACTCTCCAGGATGTCTGGCTCAAGGTCAGCAACTACATTGTCTTTGGATTGTCTGGGTGCTGAAAGTGTTGCTCTCAAACGAACAGCATATGGGCCAAGGTTTGACAAATTATCAGCATGCATACAACATCAAAACATCACGTTGTGCAAAAGCATGCCAAGTTGAGTATCCCTTATCAAAAATCCATGCATATAATTATTTTTAAAGTTTGTATAAATTACCTGGCTTGTATTACTTTAATATTTGTTTCCATTTACTAGAGTTAATGGTTATTTTTCAATAAAAAAGTGTTTGTATCATTGAAAGTACTGTTATGTTTTGAGGACAAGGTGATGATTAATTCAGACAACTGTATATGAGTTGTTATTTCTAAACGAAAACATCAGTATTCAGATTTAATTGCAGTGTTGGCACTTGGAAAGAAATAATTTGGTTTTGTGTCGCCGCTTGGGCACTCGGGCTCCAAAAGGTTCGCCATCACTGCTCTACCTGGCCCTAAGCAAGCTGCTCTTAGGTAGCCTCAGTCCACCCACCTGCAATGTGGGGGATTCTGGCTCGTTTCACTACTGTGGGCTACAGGAATTGCTCGCTAGCTCAGTGGTTTCGGTCTCTGGCTGTGGAGCCAGAAGTTGGGAGTTCCGTTCCCCACCACGTTGATAGGGGCTAGACTCAGTGGGTCCCTTTCAGCTCTGCAGGTCTAAGACGAGTAAGTGACAACAGGACTTAACTGATAGGGTTGGCATAAGGACTGCAACAATATAATGAAGATGAAGGACTTTCAAAATAGGGAAGTACTATTCAAATATTAAGCATTATTATAATCATATGTATCATCACCCAAGTATTATTATCTTTCAGGTTAGAGCAGCTGGTGCAAAAGAAGTGAATCAAGCACAGAGCAGAACGTGCTTATTTCTAGCTCTTTTGCTCTCTTCACTCCCAGTTTGGGAGTGGTTCCTGCAAACCCCACCCCCACCCCTTCCCGGTGCTTAGTCATTACCAAAGCCCAGCACAGGTAGACAGGGAAACGTCCGAGTCAGGGGTGTCTTCCACAGATCCGCTGTAATAGCAGTCCACCTGCAAGGTCCAAAATGGCTGCGTCAGAATCCATTTGTCCAAAAGTCAACCTGACAATGCAGATAAACCCCAGATTGCAGCGTAAGCGGTAGTTCAAGGAGAGGAAGGCCTGATGAGAAAAGGAGAGTGAAGGGAGACAGGATAGCACTTTTCAAAGACAGAGGAGGGGCAGGATCGGCTCTCCATCATTCCAGAGTGCAGGATACATAACAATGGGCTCCATGTTAGAGGAAGCCAGATTTCGGCTGAATATCAGGAAAAACTTCTCAACTGTTAGAGCAGTAGAACGACGGAACCCACGACCTCGGGAGGAGTAGGTGGTGAGGGCTCCAGCGCTGGAGGCGCTCAAGAGAAAATGGGACCGCCCTCTGTCGGGTCTACTTTGATTTGGAATCCCACCTTGAGCAGGTTGGACTCAGTGGCTTCATTGACCCTTTCCAACTCAAATCATTTTATGATCCTGGGACTGGCATGAACTATGTTGCCTGAGCTGATGAGCTGTTCAAGGATAAAAGTGATGCAGAAGGGTGTGGCATCTGTCACGAAAAGAAAACTCCTTTTGTGAAAATAATAATAATTATGAATAAAGAAGTCATCAAGGAAGGCGGTTTGGTTGCTCTCAGATCTTGAAGTTTTGAAATCAGCCTTTGGAGAGGTGGTGCTCTCCAGAGGGAACCCTATAAACCCCCATTTGTGGCATATAAGAAACATGCTCCCTTTTTCACTGAGCTGAGGTGGCTTCCAGAGGTGACCTCGTGCCTTTGATTAAGCAGGAGAGAGATGATTTAAAACAGCTTTTTTTTGGGGGGGGGTGCGGCGGCGGCTGATGTTTATAATGAATTCTATTAGCCATTACACAGAGGGTGGCAAAAGCTGGCATTAAGAAGAAGTTGGTCCAGATCCCGAGCATTTCACCCCAAGGGAAAATTAGAAGATGCAAGCTGCGAGCTGAAAGATAAAGCTAAGACGTACCTTAATATACGGGTGATCTTCTTGACGGTTCCCTTTTGGATCAAAAGTGTAGATCGGCATATTCCGAAATATAAAGGATCTGCGTGAAAAAAGAAGGATTAGGCAGACGGCAGGCACTTGCAGCACAAACGTCGTTTCTTGGATCAACATGGATTACTGGCAATGTGCCGCGGATGCTTTTAATTTGAATTAAACTGTCTCTGCCGACGTTTGGTTTTCATCCATGGTAGAATCTGTCTTGTCTCGCCTGATGGAAGGTAGAGGGTCAAAAGCAACAAGATCATGCAGGAAAGTGCCCCAGACCTCTCAGAGAATTTGCTTTCTTGGAAACAAACCTGATGAGTTCTAAGGACATTACTTTATAACCTGACCAAAGTGCAAATCCATTAGTGGCATTAAATACATTAAATCAATTATGCCCAACCTTTGTCGAGTTGTGACCCCTTTTTGTAATAGCCAGGTAACCCAGAACACCCCCTTTGCATAAAAAGGCATTTTTAATGGGGTTAAAATGGTCCCTTCTAATAAAGTAGAGGCTTCTTTCTCCCCGAAAGAGTCCGTTTCTCATACATAGACACACACACTAGCTTTAATGTCTGGTTTCGAAAGGTCAAGAAATGAATTATTTAACAAGGACTGCGACACCTATAAGGTAACCTGCGATTCCCCCAGAAAATACTTTGTGACCCCTTTGGGGGGTCACAACCCCCAGGCTGGGACACATTCCATTAAATGTGGCTGTCACAATCGGAGTTCCAAAACCATAAGGAAACAAGCCAAAACAGTACACAGCCTGTGCAGTGTTTCTTCTGTTTATATTGCTATGCCTTTTAAATAAGAGGATGCTGAATTCTTAATTTTTTTCTAATCATATTTAAATAACAGAAGTCCCCCTTCCTTCCCATCCAATCAAAAGAAACACAAGATCTCAGGATGGGGGGGGGGGGGAGGGGAGAGAAACACTTACTTTTGATGAAGGTGAATAATCCTGTTGTTTCCTTCAATTCTAATGAAATAAGACACTTCTTTCTAAACAAAGCGTTTAAATGCAAAACAGAGTTACTTAAAACCCAAACCAGTTCAGCTTACAACTTCATAATATAAGGGAGAAAAAATATATTCCAGTCCTCAAGGGTTTATATTCTTTCTTGGACCGTTTTCTTTCCTTTCTGTATATTTTATGTTCAAATGCTTGCTCGTTTTCAAAGAAAAGAAGCCCACCTCCACTTTGGTTTTGCTTTGGTTCGAAAGCAGGCATAATTACAGAGCCCTTAAAAGGTGGGTGTAGCTTAGTGGGTTGGAGCACCGGGGGGCCAGGAGTTCAAATAATCAGATCACCCAGAGGATGCATGACTGATGGGGGTCCCTATGGCCCTGCAGCCTGTCTGTCCTTGGGCAAACGGCAGGGTGGCTGCAGAGCATCACCAGAAAGAGGGGTTGATCAACCACTTCTGTGTATCTAAAAAAGCTTAAGAGGGTCACCACAAGTTGGAAATGATGGGATGGCACACCATTCAATCATTTGTTTTAATTACAGATTTGAGGAATTTATTGGTGACTCATCTGCTTCACTTCCTCTGTACGGACTTCAGCTAGCTCAGATCTATTATTCATTTACACAGTTCATAGCTTGCATTTCATTACAAGGGATTTTCAAAGCAGCAGCCTGGAACTGCAACATTACTGTGATAAATAAAATCATAAAAATAAAATTGTAAAGGAAAGGGACAAACCCAAGAAATGCTTGAACACTTGCAGGTTAATCGATTTAGTCACCAAATGGGAAACACCAAGGGAAGGATTAGAATTATTAAAGTTTTGGTTTACTGAGATAGAAGGGGAGCAGGGGAGTGATGGAGTTGATGGTGCCCCAGGGATCAGGTCCTCATCACCTTGATGTAGGCAATGACATTTCTGTTGTAAACCAACCAACCAACCAACCAACCAACCAACCAACCAACCATTTCCAATTTATATGCAAAAGGAGAATGTTTTCTCAGTCTATTTCACCTTGTGCTACAAAAGCAAAATAAAAAAAAACTATTTTTCTTTTTTCTTTGAGAACACTCTGAATTTTCATATCCCAAGAAACCCCTTGCACATGTCGGGCAAGAATATTATCAGATTTCTCGTCGGAACTCTTGGCCCTGTTCTGCAGCATGGAATTCTGACTAGGAAACACTGCATTAAAGAATAAGACCTAGGTTTCAGCGGACTTTCGATAGGCTACAACCCACTCTCACAGACAAATGACTTAAGTGTCGTGAATGCTGTGTATTATTTTTGAATTTTATTCCCAAGATTTTCTTGATGGAATCACTAGGATTTGGCCTGTGTAAAAGAAGTGATAATTAGAAAAAGTACAGCTTGCTCCAGCTTGTCATCCAAAGTAAAAGAAATGGTGTGTGTGTGTGTGAAGGAAGGAGGTTTAGATGGGACACACTAGCCAGAATCTTGTGGCTTATTAGCACGCCTACGAGAGTGATCACAAAATTGCATTGCTGAGAGATGAGGTGCCCGTTGCATTTGGGCTGCAGGACTGATTGTGTGTGCCATTCGTTTGCTGATTTGCCGCTTTTCTCCCCCATAGTAAAAGAAATGGTGTGTGTGTGTGTGAAGGAAGGAGGTTTAGATGGGACACACTAGCCAGAATCTTGTGGCTTATTAGCACGCCTACGAGAGTGATCACAAAATTGCATTGCTGAGAGATGAGGTGCCCGTTGCATTTGGGCTGCAGGACTGATTGTGTGTGCCATTCGTTTGCTGATTTGCCGCTTTTCTCCCCCATAGGGTGCCCAAGGTGGCTCACAACAGATAGACCACTGTAATGCGCTCTGTGGCTCACAACAGATAATACAACAGATTTTTAAACATTATATAAACATCACATTTAAAAAGCAATTAAACATATACAGTATTGAAGTTTTAAAAAGTCAAGTTTAAAAAACAGATTTAAAACATTTAAAAACCTGCCAGTTAAAGACCAGCATTCCTGAGATAAGGTACTGCTGAAAGGCCTGCTGGAAGGTCTTTGCTTGGTGATGGAAGGATGAGAGGGAGGGGGCCCAACCTGGCTTCTCCGGGCAGAGCATCCCAAAGCCTGGGAGCAGAGCCACCGAGAAGTCTCTCTCTCTCTCTCTCTCTCTCTCTCTTTCTTTCTCTCTCTCTCTCTCTCTCGTGTTCTCACCAAGCAAGCTTGGGAAGGTGGTGGAACGTGTGGGGTGAAATGATCCTTCAAACAACCTGGACCCAAGCCATCTAGGGCTTTATAGGTAATAAGTAGCACATTCATTTGGGCCCGGAAACGGACTGGCGGCCAGTGAAGGGGTTGGAATACGGGAGTGACAGGCTCCCTATAAACGGCGCCAGTTGTGCTCCCAACACACCACCTCTGGCACCTCGTCATTTTGATTTGGCAACGTCTCCCATTCTTCTCGTGTGCACTAAATATCCAATAGGATTCTACCGTAGAGATGAAGCCAGCTTGCGTTTCAAGCATTTTTGGTACAACAACTTCCGAGTACAGGTATTTGGAAGCTCCCACGAAGCCTGGAAAGAAAAGCAGGTTTTAAATATCTGTCTCTGTCTCTATATCTATATATCTATACACTGATGCTTGCAATTAATTTACTGTACTCTGTTTTGAGTTAGGTTCATGTGGCAGGTGGTAGTCTGAAGGTCAAATTCCCACCCATCTCCGGGCCCACCGGGTGCCCCATTCTTTAGCCAAAATGAGATGCTACGGAGAGCTTGTTGCAAAAAGGAAGTAACACCCATCTTTTCTTTTAATCCTGTAAGCTTTTCTATCCTCCTGTAGTTGGCAAATTAATTTGCTTTTTGAACATTTTGAGCCTTAAAGACCAACCTAATTTGCATAATTTGATTCAGTGTCGTAGATGAAATCTGCATGGTGCTTTCTTCTTATAAGGAAATCCAACGGTAGCATCTGATTTCACCCTCCGACTCAACCAAAAGCACAGAATGAATCTCTCTCTCTCTCTGTCTATTAGTTTACTCCACCTTGCCGCTAAAGCATAAAACTCCAGCTAGCTTGCAACGATCCATTTAAAAGCAAGTTAAAAACAAAAACGAGCAATAAAACAATTAAAATGTAATAAGCAATTCAAGCCAACACATTACTTTAAATAACTTGGAATGTTTCTAAAAGGTCAGTTGAAAGCACATCCCTGTGGCCTCCCTTTTCGCAAACGTAGTTGCAAATAAACCTTATTGACATTAAAAAGGCATGAAAAATTGTCCCAATCCTTTCCACATTTATTCGGAAGCAACATTTGCTGTGTTCAACAGAGGGTTCACATCTGCCTGGGAGTAAGGAAGTCTCCCTGGATGTGGTGCTAGTTGCTAGTTAGAGAAAATGGGAAGGGAATTGATTTCACAGAAAAAATAAAACTGAATGTTTCTGCTTTTTAAAAAAGTGGTATAAATGATTCTCAGAGTGAAGATCAGCTTTTGCAAACCTAGAACACGTGTAGGGTGAAACCCTCAGAAGGCTGAAGGTTGGAAACAGGGACATTAAGTTAAAAAGTGGTTCTTCATCCTCTCTGAATCCATTTCATCTGAACAGGAGGCAAAGCTGGGAACCCAAAGCATCTTGTCTTGTTTGTGTGTGTGTGTGCGTGCATTCTGAGCAGGAAAAGAGGAACACCAAACAGAAGATGGATTGACTTCGTAAAAGAAGCCATGACCTTGAGTTTGAAAGACGGGAGCAGGCCTGTGGAGGATGGGACATTTTGGAGGCCATGAATTCATAGGGTGGCCACAAGTTGGGAGCAACGTAACCGCACATCATAACAACAGCAGCTGCAGCAGCAGCAATATTCTGGGGTGCCAGGGCTCAAAGCCTCTCCCAGAACCCCTCCGTCCTAGGGACCTGCTAGAGGGGGGACACCCGACTGTGCAGCTATTCCTCTCCATCTAACCTCAGCCTTTCCCTTTTAGGAGAACAGATAGAGTTAAAAGGAAAGGCAGCGCCATCCAAACCCTGCACCAACGCAAGGGAGTGGGGTGTCCGAAGACCCAGGTAAAAGGGCACCTTGGAAGCACTTTCTGGCCTGCAGATTTAATGATCCCTAGGAAGGGGAAGGCAAGCTGGCTGGAGAAGCTTGGTGGGTTGGAACAGCGGGCTGGGAATTCGAGTCCCCCACGGTGCACCTTCAGAGAGAAGAGCCAGCCTGGGTGGCCTTGGGGCCAGCTGCACGGGTGGTCCCAGGGCAATCCCAGAAGAAGGGAAAGGGAAGCTGCAGTATTTCTAAGTACTGTACATTATATACCTAAGAAATCATGGAAAGGGCGGCCTTAAGTCAGAGCTGACTTGACAGCTTGCAATTCTAGGGAGCTGGCAGGCTAGCTCAGCAGCCTTGGGCGAGCTCTAAGGGAAAGGGAAAGGTTCCCCTTGACATTTTCAGTCCAGTCGTGTCCGACTCGAGGGCGCGGTGCTCATCCCCGTTTCCAAGCCATAGAGCCAGAGTTTGTCCAAAGACAGTTTCTGTGGTCACGTGGCCAGCGCGACTAGACACGGAATGCCGTGACCTTCCCACCGTGGGGGTACCTATTTATATGCTCGCATTTACATGCTTTCGAATGGCTAGGTTGGCAGGAGCTGGGACAAGCAATGGGAGCTCCCTGTGTTGCGTGGATTCGATCTTACGACTGCTGGTCTTCTGACCTTGCAGCACAGAGGCTTCTGCGGTTTAACCCGCAGCACCACCACGTCCCAAGAATTTCCCCAGATTAAGGGGCTGGGAAACCACTTCTGAATATTCTCTTCCTAAAAACTCTGGAAAAGGGTCGCCACGAGTCAGAACTGACTTGAAGACACACAATTATAGGGAGCTGGCTGGGTCGCTTGGTGGTTTGAGGCCTCTGGCTGCAGAGCCAAATGCCGGGAGTTCGATTTCCTGCTGTGCCTCCTGAAGATAAAGACAGGCTCCAAATTGCAAAGGTGTCATCCACGTATTGGAACCAGACTGTGGGTGCGAAGGGTGGGACACGAGGCCTACAGAAAACCCAGCCATGCAGACCAATACCTAAACAAAAACTCCAACCACCACCCACAGCAAAAAAAGAGGCATAATCAAAACGCTGGTAGACCGTGCAAATCGGAACGGTGAAGCACAATTTCTCAGCACTGAACTTAACCATCTGAATTGGGCCCTACAGGCAAATGGCTACTCCAAAAATGAAATTACAAGAGCCATCAAACCAAGAAAACAACACCGAACTGAAGGGGAAAAACAGCCACCCACAAATAAAGTATTTCTGCCATACATCAAAGGGGTCACAGACCACATAGGGGAACTTTTGAAAAAACACAACCTACAAACAGTATTCAAGCCCACCACAAAAATACAACAAATGTTACGGTCAGCAAAGGACAGAAGGGACCCCCTCACCACTGCAGGAGTATACCGTATGCCTTGCAGTTGTGGCCAGGTATATATTGGAACCACAAAATGCAGCATTCCCACCAGAATCAAAGAACATGAGAGACACTGCAGATTAAAACAACCAGAAAAATCTGCAGTAGCTGAACATGCCCTGAAACAAACTGGACATGAAATCCTATTTCAAAACACAGACGTACTGGACAACACCAGCAATCGTTATGTTAAGTCTGCACAGGGAAGCCATTGAAATCCACAAACACCTGCAGACCTTCTACAAAAAAGAAGAAAGTCTGAAACTCAGCAAAGCCTGGCTCCCAGCACTGAAAAATACAGCCTGCAAAAAAGTCAATGAATGCTCCCCAGCCACAAGGACCGGTGATCACTGCACACAAAAGACTAGCTAGCGACACTCATCAACCACAGTGACGGATCATCTCTCCCCCTTATCACAACAATACATCCACAGCAAAAACATGCTGATCACCATCATCACCCAATCTCCTGATAAGGACAAAAAGCTGACCCCACAGCTACAAATACTCAACTATCCAACAAACTGCAACAGAGCATGGACAGAGTTCCAACTCCTGTCCTCGGAAGATGCCGGCCACAGAGACTGGCAAAACGTCAGGAAGAACGACCTTCAGAACACGGCCCAAGAGCCCGAAAATCCCACAACAACAACAACAACTTTTGTTGTTGAAGGGAAGGCACTCTGTATATGCTCGGAGATGCTCTTTGGCTTGTGATCTCCCATGAACCCCTGAGGCTGGCGCTGAGCTCCAGCACGGGAACCCGCCATCCTTCTGAAGCCCACCCCCCAACCCCACCTCTTTGCCCCCCCTTGGACCCACCCAGGCTGAGGAGGAGCGGGAGCAGCCCCGCCCCATAGCCCAGCATTCCCTGCTTCTGGCGCAGGGTCCTCGACTGACTCCCCCCTTCTCAGCCCTTCCCAACTGCCACTGGGTGGTTCTACTGTCTCTAAACCCCCACCGCCACTCATGCCAAGGCCCTCGCCTGATTGGCTGCCCTGGCTGGAGTCCAGCCCCCTCAGAGCTCTGGGAGAGCGCTTGGACGTTCCAACTGCCACCTCGGCGTCAGGCCATTGGGCCACCCAGCTGCCAATCAGGCCCAAACCCCACCCCTTGTAAGCCTTCCAGGACCTCCTCCAGACTGAACAGCTCCCTCACCCAGGTGTGTGTGTGGGCTTGGCAGAGGGAACTACTACAGTTCCCAGAATCCCCCCAATGACCCTGATGTCTGGGGCATGATGGGGGCTGGAGTCTGGGGCAAAACGCCATCCCCGAGCCCTGCTTTCTGACCCCTCCACACGAACGCCTTGTTCTCGCTTTATTTGCTCCCCGTCTTGTTGCAACCCCTCTTCTGCCCCACCGACTTCAGGCAGAGTCACCCCAAGACGTTCTGCTGCCCGAGGCCAAGGCCAAGTGGACGGCCTCCCCATCCCACGTGGAGAACAGGACGGGACGGGCAGCTGAGGAGGCATCATCCTCTGCCACCTCGCCAGCCCTGAACCTGGGTGCCCATCAGAAGCCTAAGGCCCGCCCCTTTCCTGCGGTCACCGAAGGGGATTGGAAGCTGAAGTCTGGCCCTGACTGAGGTCCAAGGGCCCCCCGTCCCCCCAAAAATATACCTGCTGCAGTTCAAAGGTTTCCCAAACCTTCGTGGGCGTTCCAAAGGGCCCCTTGGCTTCTCTCGCCTTCGTCACCCCCTTGTGGGAGCTGCGGGAGAGGCCAGCCAGGAGACCCCGGACGAGAGACCCCCCCTGATGAGGCAGCCACGTCGCTGGCCACGGTGGGATCTGGTCCCAGAAGACCAGGCCATGGTTGACCCCTTGAATGGGACTGGACCCCCATTTGCCATGGGGATGGGGCAGTTCGCGGAGGGCGAGGCTCTCAAGGGCTCCGAGCAGAGACGGCCAGAGAGTGGCCGGTTTTTGGGTAGGGTGGCCACGTGCTGTGTGTTCGAATTCTGACTCAGCCCTGACGGTCCCTGGAGTTGCTTTGGGTCCATCCCTGTCTCTCCACCTGGTCTACCTCGCAGGGCAGCTGTGAGAATGTACAGTGGAGAGGGGTAGACCCGGAAAGGCTGCCTTGGGGTCTGATGTGGGGTGGTCTCTTCTTGTGGGATTTATCCAGGTAACTTCAAAGGGAACATTTCCCACCTTCCCAGCAGAGGAACTCTTCTGCATCATCCTCACCTTCCTTGGCCATCCAGAGAGGGTTTCAGGAGGAAGAATGACATAACGGCTGCCTAAATAGGATCAGGCCTGGGCAGGAATCGATGCCAGAAGGGGAAGACTCTCTGGCCATTTCGCATTTTGTTATTTTGGAATGAAAAGCTGCTGGAGAGGAGATTTGCCTCTGGAACAGGTGTGGCGCACCAAAGGTTTCTGGCTCTTTTGCCAAGAAGGGGCGCGACGGGGGTGGGGTGGGGTGGGGAGATCAGTGTTTTGGAATAGCTTTGCTTCCCTGCAAGGTAGAAGCAGGAGGAACGTGGCACCTTCTGGCTATCTGGAGGCCAGATGCCCTCGGCCAAAGAACTGCCAGAATCACTGGTCCCAGGATCTCAGCTAGGAGGGACTGTCGTGTTCAGTGTGTGGAATAGTTTGTATTTAAAGGCACCCATCGCAGCTTATTTTAATAAGAAAGGCTTTTTTTCTTCTTCTTCTTTTGCAAACAGGAAAAGACAGGGCAGAGAAGATAGAAATAATAAGTTGCACTTAGTTTTTTTTTTTGACCCTTTGCCCTGTGAACGCTTGGGAACGATCTACCTCTTTGGAATATAATCCCAAGAATTGCCTAGTTGCCACACCGGCTGGAGGTTTCCAGGATTTATAACTCCAAGGAGTAACTTTTCCCACTTCTTCTGAGCTCTGCCAACCCCTCGGTGGCTGATCCTGCTAGATTCATCCTCGTACGTTGAGAGTAAAAAACAGGAATGAATCCGTTCTGGGGTATTTGCTGACCCCACGAGAAGTCCAATGCGTTGAATGCTAGTAACAGGATCGGGGCTAGGGCTGGCGTGTAGGGCAAACAACCACACGTTGCCTTCCCCGGAGACACTCAGAAAGCCAGCCCACATTCCCACCAAATGGGACCAACCTATTGACGTGGAGACGGCATCACTTCCTGTCCTCAGAATTAGGGTTTGTTGAAAAAGGCAGGGGGCATTTTTGTCTCAATACATGACATTCTCTAGCTGGTATGATAAAGTATCCCATGGCAAAAAAATATGATAGATTAACTGGGACATTTTTTTGTCCTGGCTGTTTTTATTTGTATCCACAAAACGACACTTACACACACACACACACGCACACACAGAGAGAACAATGTCCTTGTATGGAACGCAAAGAATGACCAGATGGGAATTCGTTTCAGTCTTTGTGTCCTTCTTCTCCCTGTTCCAGCTCTAACGAATTGCTCCTTACCTGCTGCTGAATCCGGAGAGAGCCCCACCTTTCTGCCGAGGGTCCTTTTCCCTCTCTTTAGTCTGTTGGAAGTGGTTTCTGCTTGTTCGCTGTTGATCTTTTCCCAACTGTAAGTAATGGAATGTGTTTATTCTTTCTCCTACCAATGTTTCGGAGTGAGTTTTTGAGGGCTCTATCTGTGACTCTGCAAACCTCTACTGAGTAGCAGAAAGGGAATTTTACAAGAAATTCAGGACTCTGCTTCAGTCTCTTCCACGGCACTTGGTGCACTCGCTGACAGTCCCACCGTGCGGCCAGTTTCCGTTATCACAGCAGAGCATGGAAACCGAGAGGCGGTGGCCCCCGCTCTGCTTTTTTGGGAAGGAGGAGCAGGGCTAGGCTTTGGTCTCTGGTTTTGGACTATTATTTTGCTGGCCTTTGGGATTGCCCTCCTGGTGAAGGAACGCACGCATTTTAAAAACCCCATTTCCCCCCTGCTTCACTTGGGAGTGGTGGAAAGTGGCGTGTGCTTTTCCTGCTCTAAGGGACAAGAGACCAGGGAGGGTTCTGGCCCTGCCCTGCCTCACTTTGGTCAGCATCGTTTCCAGCTCTTTCCCCCACATCCTAAGAATGAAGGTGACACTGTTTGCCAAGGATGTTCTCCCAAACTTAGTCTGAAGCCTTGCTGTTAGATTCCCCGGTGCCCAGGAAAAAAAACACATCGGTCTTGTTCGGCCGGGCGTCCCAGCTGATGTGCCCGCCTTGAAAAGGCAGATCTGGCCACACCGCTGCAATATTCGGTGGGTTCCTTCCCACTGCTACCCGGCTAGACACCTGCCATGCACTCGGTGTGGGACAACCCTTGAAGAATCTTTGGGAATTGCCAGAAAACGGCTGCAAGCTTCTGTCTGGTGTGTCGTGTTGCCGAACCACACCTAGACCTCAGAAACGTTGCTTCCGTGGGCCAGAAATCCTGGTGAATTATATAATTCAACAAAGCAAGAATTCCAAGCTCTGCCCTATCACGACACTGGCTTTAAGTCAACTGCACGGCCTTCTCGTTGGTTTTCTGCCTACTTTTAAGATGCTGCTCCTTACTTATGAAACCCTGAACAGCTTTATTTTTTTTATTATTATTATTCAAAGTAGGTGAGAGGGATCCCAGCCCTGACTGTGCCTTGTTTAGCGGTGGGCATGTTTTTAATGGTTTTCAGTGTGTAGTGCGAGGCTTTGATCATGAGGTCTTGATTTTAGAGGTACACTTTGTCATGTCTTGGCATTCTCTTCCTTGTTCGTCTTTGCTACGAAGGCCAGGTCGGTCCAGCGGGCAGAATGTCAGATTAGAACTTGGGAGAGGTTGGTCCAAGCCTCTGCTTCGCTGAGGAAGGCGACCGCGGTAAACCAGAAGAGGCAGGTTTCTCTCGGTCCTGCCAGCCTCACAGGAGTGCTTGGCAGGGACTGAGGAGAGGGTCTTCTCTCTGTGGCTGCACCCAGACTGTGGAACTCCCTCCCACTGGAGGCCCGGGGTGGCCCCATCTCAGCTGTCCTTCCGCACGCAGATAAAACACCTTTCTCTCCAGGCAGGCTTTCCCTCAGGGACTGGCTGCCTGAGTGGGGCTGCTTATGCTTATTAATATAGTATTCATTGGATCCTTTATAATAATGCTATACACACTGTCATTAGCTTTAAATGCTGTCTTTTAATAATGTAAGCCACCTTGGGTCATTTTAAGGAAAACGGTGGGGTGAAAATGTATTGTCAAAGGTTTTCATGGCTGGGATCCGACGGCTGCTGTAGGTTTTTCGGGCTATTTAGCTGTGTTCCGGAGGTTTTTATTCGATAACGTTTCGCCAGTCTCTGTGGCCGGCATGCTCAGAGGACAGGAGTCAGACCTCTGTCTGTGTTCTGGTGCAGTTGTGGGATAATGGAATATTTATAGCTGTGGGATCAACTTTTGTCCTTTTCAGGAGATTTGGTGATTATATAAACACTCAACTATCCCACAAACTGCACCAGAGCACACGCAGAGTTCTGACTCCTGTCCTCTGAAGATGCCCATGGCCACAAAGACTAGCGAAACGTTAGGAAGAACAATCTTCAGAATCACAGCCAAACAAACCGAAAAACCTACAACCACCATGGGGTGAAAATATTAAAATAAAGAAATCAGTAAGAGAACCCTCACCTGCTTATTCTACCTATTAGGGAGAGCAACAGGGACAGCTGAAGGAGAGGATCGTATGTGCACAGTTAATCTGAACCACTGTTGTATTGCTGGGAAAATCCATGTGCAGGGTTGAAACAGGGAAACATCGTTGCTAGAAATAAAAATATAAATGGCTATGCCTTAGAGGAGGATATGGACAAAAATTAGGAAAATCTGTGTGGCTTTCACAAAATGATAATATATGTGTTTTAATAATGCAAATCAATGTGGTAACTAAATGAATTCTTCCACACACCAGGACATTAGAGCTGTTAGTCAAGTTGAAATATTAGGGTATCCAGCCC